CTCTCTCTCTCTCTCTCTCTCTATATATATATATATATATATATATAATATCATAATTAAGGGGACTTAATTTTTTATTCTTTTACAAATAATTTATTATATGGGGAAGTGAAAGAGAATTGTGTGAATCACCACCTGGCATTGGAGAATTTAACATTATTGTTTTAGATCCAAATGAATTATATTTTAAATGAAAGTCTTTAAAACGTTTTTGAATTTTACAAAAGTTTATAAAAGCTTTAAAATGAAAATTTATAAAAATCTACGAAAAAACTTTCATTAATTCCATTTAAAGATAAAGAAAATCCACAAAATCTACTGAAGTCATCACTCAAAATGTTTTTAAAAGTCTAGATTGAATATACCCCCAAGACAAAATTAAAATCCCCGAGATATTGATGTGGAAGAATTTGAAGTGTTAGACACTAATTGTTATGATGCAAGAAAATGAGGAAAATCCTATTCATTTTGTGTAATCATTAGAGATGTCACTTCAAATTAGTGTGAAAATTGCACCAATTCGGTGTAAACATTGTGTTACACCAGATTGGTGCAAACCATGAAGATGTCCTCAATGTACATAATTAGATTATCATTCAAACATAGAATCTTCAATCTAATTGAGTAGTTCTAATAGTGGGTTGATGGCCTTGGGGCGTCTAGCGTTGAAGTGGATAAAAATCGTGATCAATCATCGGCATTGGTGCATGTGAGTTGAGTAGAAAAAGATAATTATTTGATAAAGATGGCAAATTTAGATATTGAAAGAAAAATGAGATTTCAAGCTTTGGAGAAGTTAAGATGCCAAAAGTGAAAGTTAAAAAAAAAGAAAAAAAATGGTTGTCAAAGAAAAAAATCAAAATCAAAATGAGAATTCGAAAATTTCTGTGGAATCAATTGCCGCATGTAAATTCACCCTAATCGATTATGCAATTAAAAAGTAGAATAAAATCAGCCAGACAAGCTAAAAAATATCGAATCAAAGGACAAACTGATTTGGTAGATATTGGTTGGGTTTTTTCCGCTCAAAGTGTCCAATCATGCTTCGATACGTGTTCACTCTATTTTTGACCTTTTTTTTGTACCTGTCTCTATATTGTAAAAAGTATTGTTAAAAAAATGTATCAGTAGACCATGAAAGAGAAAAAATAATGACGGACGAGATGTAATTACGCGTGCGATGTGGTTCTTTAGACGTAGAGTTGCCGTCCGATCATGATCTTCTTATCTCCACTAATTTCCACAAACCCATCAATTAATGGATGATATTAGCCTAACAAAGTGGAATCGCGCCTGCCTCCTTTGACTAGTTGAACCGCAAAAATCATTCATTCATTTGATTTTTCGTCACGTAAATATCACGTGCTTGACCATCTAGTTAACGTGTATAGTATCCCACTTCAAAATAACCAAATCGTCCATAGATGTTCATTTCTTAATCTCTATAGAAGAATTGATAAACAGTTTAATTTAGCCCTGTTTGATAAAAATTATAATTTAGATTTTTATTAAAATCAAATTTAATAATTAATTTAAACCACATATTTAATAAGATTCATAATTTTTCAACCACACATTTCATTAGCTTTTATCAAAACCTACTAAAATGTAATTTTAATCTCAACGAGTGAAAATTGAAGTCATCATCTGCTAATTGCACGATTTTTCAACGACACAAAATATCTTTCTTTTGTCATAAATTTTGCTCATAATTTATTTATTTTCTTTTTCCATATAACCAAGTAACGGTCAAGTCCCGCCTCATTTGACAAGTTTCATTTATTTATTTTCTTCAAATAACATAGCACGTTTGACACTTCAATTGTTATCTGCATAGAGTTCCCAATGACCAAAATTACCACAAATTTTAACTACATATTTCATAAGATTCACAATTTTTTAACCACACATTTTATTAATTTTTATCAAAATTTATTAAAATCTATTTTTAATCTCCACAAAAGCGGACTTAATGCAATGAAAATTGAATTCATCATTTGCTAATGGCATAATGGTCATTCCATATGACGAAGTCGACTTCACAGAAAACACAAAATATCTTTCTTCTGCCGTGAATTTTGCGTATAATTTATTTATTTCCTTTTTTCATAAAACCAAGTGACGGTCAGGTCCCGTCTCATTTGACAAGTTTCATTTATTTATTTATTTATTTTCTTCAAATAAGATAGCACGTTTGACACTCCAGCTGTAACTTGTATAACCTGTAGAATAATTTGATTTTTTGCAATTCACTTCTCGTTGTCATCTTTTCTTAATTTAAATACAATTGGACAATCAAATTATTTTTCCAACAATCGAATTTATTATTTGTTATTTTCAATTTTTCACCGTCCCCTTTAACCATTTGAAATGCTAGAATCCGAACAGCATCTACTCGTTTAAACCAATTCAAAACTTAGTCATCCACAATCTTAATAAAAACTTGCTCTTCCAATCACTGCCAAAAATGAAGTTCATGAATTCATTGTTAATCAGTATTAGTAATCAAGCAATAAAGAAGGCCAATCTATTCTAGAATCTCAAAACTATACAATTTTCCTTTAATTTTGTGCATTAGTGAAATTCATTCTCTAAATTAATAATATTGGGCTTATGTTGACATTGAAAAGAGTTATTCTCTCATTATTCCCCTTATATATGGGAATAACTCACGGGAGGTTCCATATAGGTGCTGCGTATATAATTTTTTAATTTTTTAATTTTGTCGACAGGCAATGTAAAAAAGATGAATTAAGCTTTAGTAATAGAAAATGGGTAACAGAGGCGGTGACCGCTTCTCCACATGGGCACGACCCCCTTAGAATTACAAATTCAAAAAAGATGTGGGCCCCTCTATTTGTTAGTATCGATCTAACTGTATGTCAATCTAATTTCTGTCGCTGTAATCTCTTCCAAAAAAGATAAGTACCCATGTAAGGAGCTTGGCAAAATTTCACCGTACACCAATTAAAAGCTCTTTATAAAAATGGTTTGGTACGTATTAATTATTTATCAAATAAGTATTTTGTTTGGTCAACTGTCATTTTCAGAGGGCACAATGGTAATTCAATGTGAACGAGTTGACTAGACTTGAAGCAGAAAAATCTTTATTCAGCTTCTTCGGTCATGAATTCCGCTGCATTTTTTTCACTTTACAGAACCATTTTCGAAGGAGACGGCGAATTGCTCATCCTTTCTCTTTCCTCTTTCTCTCTCCAAGAACATCTTACTGCAGCCATGATCCCAAAAAACTCTCGTTGTTTTATGTTCTATGTGTTGTTTTTCCTGTGTTTCTCTATACACCTTAATCTATCCGAAGGAGTTGACAGCATCACAGCGAACCAATCTTTGTCTGGATCTTTAAAACAGACAATTGTCTCTGCTGGAGAGACTTTTGAACTGGGATTCTTCACAAGAGGTAATTCTTCCAGGTATTATGTTGGAATATGGTACAAAAATGTTAGTCAACAGACCATAGTTTGGGTAGCAAATAGGGAGAAACCCATTACAGACATTAATTCTGCAGAACTAAAAATTTTAGATGGGAACTTGGTGCTTGTGGATAAATCCCAGGATCGGATTTGGTCCACTAATGTAAGTTCGACAACCTCAAATTCTTTAGTGGCAACTCTAAATGATAATGGGAATTTAGTTTTGAGAGATGGGTCAGAACCTAGGACAAGTGAAGGATTTTGGCAAAGTTTTGATCATCCAGCAGATACTTGGTTGCCTGGTGGCAAAATTGCTTATGACAAACGTACGAAAGCAAAGCAACTTCTCATTTCTTGGAAAAATTCTGAGGATCCAGCACCTGGGCTTTTTTCCCTTGAATTAGATCCAAATGGGAGTCAGTATATTATAAAATGGAATAGGACTCAACAGTACTGGACTAGTGGAGCTTGGAATGGGCATATTTTCAGTTTAGTCCCTGAAATGAGGCTGAATTATATTTATAATTTTAGTTATGAAGATAATATTAATGAGACTTATTTCACTTATTCTCTTTATAATCCTTCTCTTATATCGAGATTTGTGATGGATATTTCGGGTCAAATTCAGCAGTCATCATGGTCGGAGAGTACGAAAGAGTGGAATTTGTTTTGGTCTCAACCTAGGCAGCAATGTCAGGTGTATGCTTATTGTGGGGCATTTGGTATCTGCAATCAGAATTCATTGCCCTTCTGTAATTGTTTGTCCGGATTTAAACAGAAGTCTGTGAATGATTGGAATTTGAAGGAATATTCAGGTGGCTGTGTAAGAGAGATTGATTTGCTGCAGTGTGGGAATGGTAGTACTTCTACAGGGAGGAAAGACAAGTTTTTACGGAATCCTCAAGTTAGTTTACCTGTAAATTCTCAAACGGTGATTGCAGGTAGTGCTGGAGAATGTGAGTCTGTTTGCTTGAATAATTGCTCTTGTACAGCTTATTCTTACGATGGCAATGCATGCTTAGTTTGGAAAGGGGAAATAATGAATTTGCAACAACTCCCAGAAAATGATGGCAGTGGGAGAACTATATACGTTCGACTTGCTGCCTCTGCTCCTCAATTTTCGAGCAACAAAAAGAATAAAGGGGTTGTCATAGGTGCTGTTGTGGGTTCTGTCGCTGTTGTTGTGGTGCTCTTGGCAGTTATGGGGATCGTGATCTGGAGACGACAAAAGAGTAGACTTGGAACTTCAAAAGCTGTCGAGGGTTCATTGGTAGCATTTGGGTACAAGGACTTGCAAATTGCAACCAAAAATTTCTCGGATAAGTTGGGTGGAGGAGGGTTTGGTTCTGTTTTCAAAGGGATGTTGCCTGATTCAACTGTCATTGCTGTCAAGAAGCTTGAGAGTATCAGCCAAGGAGAGAAGCAATTTCGGACTGAAGTAAGCACGATTGGGACAATTCAGCATGTTAATCTTATACGGCTTCATGGATTTTGTTCTGAAGGTGATCGGAAGTTACTAGTTTATGAATATATGGAAAATGGCTCCTTGGATTCACATCTTTTCAATGTCGAGGAGTCTAAGATTTTGGACTGGAGAACGAGGTACCAAATTATGTTGGGGATAGCGAGAGGGTTGACCTATCTCCACGAGAAGTGCAGGGACTGCATTATTCACTGTGATATAAAGCCAGAAAACATTCTTCTAGATACTGAATTCTGTCCTAAAGTTGCAGATTTTGGTTTGGCAAAGCTGGTGGGGCGCGATTTCAGTCGGGTTTTGACAACCTTAAGAGGAACTAGAGGTTATCTCGCACCTGAATGGATATCAGGAGTTGCAATCACAGCAAAAGCCGATGTTTACAGCTATGGCATGATGGTTTTTGAATTCTTATCCGGGAGGCGAAACTCTGAGCAATCCGTTGACGGGATGGTTAAATTCTTCCCGTCTTTAGCTGCAAGTGTGATAGCAGAGGGTGGTGACATTCTTGACCTATTAGACCCTGCATTGGATAAAAACGCTGATGCAGAAGAGGTAGCGAAATTATGTAAAGTTGCTTGTTGGTGCATACAGGATGAGGAAAATATTAGGCCATCAATGGGTCATGTTGTTCAGATTCTTGAAGGCGTCATGGATGTAAACTTGCCTCCGATCCCGCGTTCTCTCAAATTGTTCGTTGAAAGCCAGGAACAGATAATGTTCTTCACTGATTCCTCCTCGGGGCAGAGTTCACAAACAAAAAGTGACGCTTCACGGGCTTCCTCTCATTCCAAGGGCACAACAAAATAGTGCAGTAATATTGAAATTTTAATATTTGTTAGATATATTATTCCTCTGATAGTATAAATGCAAACTTTAAATAATCTGATATGTGTAATAGATTGGTGTGTATTTAACCTTAGTTGTATTAATTATTTTTTCCAGTTGTGTATTCATCACATAGTTTTGATTTAAAATTTGGGGTTTAACTGAAATGCGTTGAAAAATATATGATATATCCATTCAACCCAGAACATTTGGGATTTAAAGTTTAATAATGATGTAATTCTATAGAGGATTAGTTCCATAAAGTGATCGTTTCAATTATTTAAGTTCGATATGTTTTAGGGTTAGGAATGTTGACTTGTTAAAGGTCAAGTTTTCATAAGACGAATGTGGTGAGGATACTATTATGGATGTGCCGTCATACTAAAATGGATTAGATAAAAAATAAAGTATATGGTAACAATTGAAGTTCTGTCCATAAATGATAAGTGTGATACTACATGTACATCAGGGTGAATCCCCTTTCATGTGAGAAGGATGAACACTGCATTATGTATAAATAGCATTATCCTAATGATAAATTAAGGTAAGGAGGACGAGATTCTTGTTCATGTTTCACGTCAACCTTAAAAAGGCCAATGTTCATAAGAATGCTGTCACTTCAGTAAAATTAATTCAAATATGGATGCCTAGACTAAATTTAATATGGTTTATTGCTGCTGATGAATTAGTTGCTTTATTCCACCTAGAAGGTGTAACAGAATAAAGTAGAACGACAAGAAAAATGCAAGTCATCAATCACATATTTACTAGTCCTAATTAATTTGTGTTATACATTATACCTACAATTTTTTCAAGTCTTGTTAAAATGTTATTTCAAGTCAGGTTAATATTATGCCCCTGTTTGGTAGAGATGTTTTAAATTATATTTTGTCAAAAAATAAATTTTTATAAAATGTACGATTAAAAAGTAGAAAAAAATTATAAATCTATGTGCAACAAATATGTTGCTGAAAATAAATTTGAAAGAAAAATGAATTTTATGAAATGGTGGCAACGGGTAAATATATAAAGATATATTGCAGGTATAAATTGTATTTGGAAAATGAGCTTTCGGTCATTCGAAATATTTATAGAAGTTCTTGATTTGATGAGTTTGTACTTTGTAGGGATTGTTGCATCGAAATGTGCAAAATATTTTCTACCAATTTAAAAAGAAAATCGGTGAATCAAATTTGATGCAATCCGTGCATGATCGTTTCAATTCGAGGAGAAGTTCGCAATTGCATTTGCAAAGGATATCAAATATATTGTTGTTTTTATAAATTAGAGAGAAAAATAGAAGAAAGTAAAGGAGTGAATGAATATTTTTGTGTATTTGAGAATCAAAATCCCATATTTATAGGGATGAATTAAGGCTACAAGAGACATAATAATCATAATAAAGGTTGAACCCCAATTTTAAGGGTCCTCCACCGTCCCACTCCAGAAACATCGTGAGAGAGGTTAATCGTAAGATGTGCTCCAACAGGTTAGGGAACAAGAACTGCCTGTAGACTGGTGCTCACAAAGAGTCACAATTCATATTTCAGGAATCGAACCCTCACATTGCGGCTATCAGCAAGATTGAGTATACCTCACCCGTGTCCTTTACACTACTGAGATATGCCCTGAGGGGCAACATAATAATCATAATAACTAGGACAACAGGTGTATAATGATCATTCACAAACACTATTTTATTTACAACACTCCCACTTGAATGACTATTTACACAATAATCGTTTCATTGAAAACCTTTTTGACAAAAACTCGATGGAATAAAAATACCACAAAAATAGAAAAATAGCATGGCTAATTTGCAGTAATAAAATTTTGCCTTGTTAAAACTTTATCAATAAAACTCAATGGAACAAAATCTGAACGAAGGAAAAAGAGTACAGTTAATTCCATTGATTTCAATAAATGAAAATTCTCGTATCAAATCATCAATATCTTGTACACCAATCTTTTCAATATCATAATTCTGGTGAAAAATGTTTCATGTAGTGATGGCAATTTATCTCGCCCCGCCCCGAATGGGGCAAAAAAACCCGCCCCGTCGCGGGGCATAAATGGTCGCCCCATTTCGGGGCGAGGATGCACTGCTCCGTGAAGGGAAAAAAAAAATTAAAAATAATCTTATTTCTAGACAATTCATCCATTAAAAACTCATTTAAAATTTTTATTTCATTCTTTAATAATAACATAATCCGAAACTTTCAAAATGTAAAAAAAAAAAAAATAAATAAAAATAATTATACTAGTTTCATGTTGTATAGTATAATTTTCAAATAATATTGTCTTTATACGAGATATTTATCAATATTTGATAATTGCAGTAACATGATGATTCAAAAAATAGCTCTTATTATTTTTTTAAGAGTCTCATACATATAAGAATATTATTTTAAAGATAATTTCTTGAGGATTATTGACATTCATTATACAAAAAATATGTCTTATTAAATAACAACTCAAACCGAAAACAATGTTGACCTTTGAAAATAGCTTAATTAATTAATGTCGCTAACGGCCTAAGTGATTGCTGATTGGGTGTCTCTTTATTCTTGGCCCATTTAATCTCTTTTTGGCCTAATCAGGGTCTAGCCTATTCTTATATATTTTGTGGTTTCCTTTATTCTTCATTACACGTGATTTGTGAAAGTGAGAAGAGTGTGCTTTGGCTTTGCTTTAAAGAAATTGGCGGTTGCATTTGTCTTCATCTTTTGTGCCTGCTCTTTCACCTCCTTTTCTCTTTGCCTTGGTGATTGAAGTCACCACCACTTTCTCGCACTTTGTGGATGACAAGATTGAAGCAACGATAAGCAATTGTGGGGAGCTTTTAGATTGGTTGTTTTGTAAAAAAAAAAAAAAAGAAAGAAAAAAAAAGAAGAAAAAAAAGGTAACATGAAAATTGAGCCAACGAAGATCTTGGAGCGAGCTTCCTTAACAATTGGTATTTAAGGCTAGGTTATCAACAAGTCTCTGTCCAATGATCCACGAGAGATGTTCGTGGGAAATCGACAAGCATACAAAACTGTTGACAAGTAATAGTTTTGAGTGAGTTACTAGTATTGTCCCTTAGGGAATAAATTTCAATTCACGTTTACTAGTTATGTATGAAATTCGAATTATGTAAACAAAATAGAATTTGATTTTGTCATTATTCTAAATTAATCTAAGAACGTGGTAAAACAATATCATCCAACATAGCAAGTTCAATATAATATTTTGCAAGTACTTCTTCATTCAATAGGGGAGAACCAACTCCTTTAAGAATGATGTTATTGTCCAAATGTGCAGATACATATTCGCCCTCAGGCATGTAGCATTCATTAGATTTGTCAATTGTTTTGTTTTTAACATATTAAATACTATTTAAACTGTAGAACATTGGACATAAAGTGATTAGTACATGTATACAAGTATGGCTTGGTATAATACATCCCATTACAAAGCTCACAAATTATGTTTTCAACAAACATATCCTCATCATCTATGTCGAGATTACTTCTTGTCAAAAATTGATGCGAACCCACGAAGTAATAGTAGCTACAAAACCCACTAGAGATTGAATTATAACCCAAGAAAACCAATAAATTAAAGTTTTGAGTTTGATTTAAAAATATTGAACCAAGTAAATAACACAATCATCGATGGTATATTGATCCCTTGATTACAAGACTGACGAATCTCACCCCGATTGTCAAATGCCACAAGAATATAATTCTTGATAAATTCGAATTTGTTCAATAAAACTAAGGAATTGAAAGTAAAATATGCTCACAAAATTAATCTCTTAATTGATATGAATGAATGTTGTTTATAATATAAAATAATGAGTTCTATTTATAGAAAATCCATAAATCCCTAGTTTAAACGAAAATAAAGTTTAAAAGACTACAAAATTACCATAAAAATAGAGTTTTAACTAAAATAAAAAATCTCGCGAAATTGGAAATTTCTCGTGCTGGATTTATATTATGTAGCTTTATAGTATATTTATATACAATCGCATAGAAGTGCAAATTTCTCCCAATCAGTTTTCAGCAATTCACCATGCGGTCGTATGGCTGAAGAAACTATGCGGTCGCATATCGACTGTCCAAGTCCCATCCGTTACTTGAATCATGTTGAGCTAGCTTGTTTCCTCTCTAGAGTCCAACATAAAACGTGTTCCTTTGCTTGCCAAAATCAACGTTTCATCAATTGTAGCTTGAATGAGCAATCACATCACTTCTTTGTCCCTCTTTGCTTGCGATCAAGCCATCGGCCCTTCTTTGACAATCAATGGATCCTTTCCTGGACTTATCTTCATTACATTCATTCTATGGATTACATTGTCCCCCCTCTTCAAAAGATTCGACCTCAAATCTGTACCTGCATCAAAGATAGAAAGATCATAAATGTTAAAAGTAGTCGAAATATTATACTTACAGGAAAATCTAGCTTATAGGCATTGTCATTAATCCTTTCAAGGACTTGAAATGGACCATCTTCCCGTGGCCGCAACTTTGATTTCATTTGTTCTTGATAGCGTTCCTTTCTTGGATGTATCCAAACTCAATCACCGGGTTCAAATGTAACACTCTTTCGGCCTTTGTTTGCTTGCAATACATAGTGCTTGTTTTTCTTTTTATTTTACATTCTTGCTTTCTCATGAAGTGATTTCACCAATTCGGCCTTCTTTTTTTCATCTAAACTACCTTGTTCATTAACAGATAAAGGAATTAAATTTGAAGGTGCCATTGGATTAGAACCATTCACAATTTCATAAGGTGAAAATAAAGTAGTAGAATGTGTGGCCCTATTGTATTCAAATTCAATAAATGTAAGCATTTTTCCCAACTTTTCAAATTTGTATTAACGATAGTGTGTAGCAATTGTATCATGGTTATATTCACTACCTCAGTTTGTCTATCGGTTTGTGTGTAACAAGTTGTAGAAACCAATAATTTTGTGCCTAACTATTCCACAAAACCCTCAAAAAGTGGCTAAGGAATTCGACATCCCTATTCGATATAATCCTTCTAGGAATCAAATGTAATATCACTACTTCCTTAATCAATAAATCCACAATATTAGTGGCATCGTCGGTTTGATGACATGAATAAAATGTGACATTTTACTAAATATATCTACCACCACAAAT